GGCACCTGATAAGATTCTGACACTTCTACCCCCGGGCTAACTTCATTTGATTCGAGAGTGGGTGTCGGTTCCTGTATTTTCTATGTCACGTGCTCCTTCCCTTTCCTACTGGAGACCAAAATCGCATTCATCTCCCTTGTCGCCTGTTGGTCGCCCCTTATCTGCTTAATTCCTTCGGGCATTGGAAATTTCAGCAACTGATGATACGTTGACGGTACAACTCTCATATCATGCAACCATGGTCTTCCTAGAATAATATTATATCCCATATCACCATCCACTACTTCAAAAAGAGTCATTTTCATCACTCCTTCAGCATTCGCGGGCAACAAAATCTCTCCTCGGGTTGTCACGCTCGCGAGGTTGAATTTGGCGAGGAGTTTTGTGGCCGAAATAATGCTTCCGGTGAGTTTAGCATACTCCAATACTCTCCATTGTATGATATTGGCCAAACTTCCTGGATCCACTAGAACATGTTTGATTTTAAAGTCTAGCACATTTTAAAAAAAAAATTATCAATGCGTCGTTGTGCAGTAGCAACAATCTGCCTGTGTTCTCCTCTGTGAAAGTGATGTCATCTTCAGCAATTTCCCGAAGTTTCTTGCTATGAGTAATTTATGCCGAGAAGGTGACCCTGTTAATCTTGTTCCCCTCTCAAAGATCATGTTGAACGTTTGGCACGGGGGATATTCCCCTACTTTCGAGGGTTCCGCGTCACCGTAGTTGTTCTTGGCTTGGTCACTTAAGAATTCTATGAGGTTTCCATTCTTCAATAGTGTCGCCACTTCTTCCCGGAGATATCGGCAGTCCCAGTCCGATGGCCATTCATCCCGTGGCATTCACACCACAAGTTGGGATCCCTCTAGCTGGGATCGGATCTCACCGGCTTCGGGAACTGTGGTTCTTTGATGTTTCTCTTAGCTGATACCAACTCTACTACACTGATATTGAAATTGTATTATGAAAGCCTGGGATAGGAAGGATCCCGCATACCTGACGCTCCTTTGTCTTGCAACGATCTATTGTTCCGACCGCGATCAGTCCTTCTGTCGGTAGCAAACCTGTCTACGGACCTAAAGCCTCTGTTGCGACCTTCAGTCCATTCGTAGGGCGAAAAACCGGTCCCTCGAAGACCGTTTGTCCGTGTCAAAATCATCTTTTGAATTTTCTTTATTCTTTTTCCGTCCTTTTGCCGACGACGGGAAACCAACCTGATCATCTTCGATCCTTATCTTTGACTCATAACGGTTGTGGACATCCACCCAAGTCGTTGCTTGGAACTCAAGCAAGCTTTCCTTCAATTTTTGGGAAGTGTCTGAACTTCTCGGATTCAGACCCTTGGTGAATGATTCAGTCGCCCATTCATCCGGAACAGCTGGGAGCAACATCCTCTCCTTTTGGAATCGGGTAACGAACTCTTGCAGCAACTCGGATTCTCCTTGTGCAATTCTGAATATGTCGGTCTTTCAGGCCTACAACTTTTTGGCCCTAGCATGAGCCTTAATAAAAGAATCCTCGAGCATCTAAAAGGAATGTATGGAATGCTCGGGTAACAATGAATACCACGTCAAGGCTCCCCTTGTAAGAGTCTCTCCAAATATTTTCAGCAAAATAGATTCAATCTCGTGAGGAGCTAAATCATTCCCCTTCACCGTCATTGTATAGGTGGTAATATGCTCTTGAGGGTCTGAAGTTCCATTATACGTTTGGCATGTCGGGCATTTTAAACCGTTTCGGGATTAATTCTAGTGTCGCGCTTGGTTTGTACCGCAACTGAGTATACTCTTTTGAGTCTAGACCTTTCAGCACCGGTGGTGCGCCCGGGATTTGGTTCATGCGGGCATTCACTTCTCTCATAAATCATAAGAGTTCATTCTTAAAAGGATTGTTTTTGTTATTGGGGCCGGATACGCTGCCCCAGCCCCATCGGAACCAACCTCGCCCCTTGGGGTGTTGTTGTCGACCCTCTGCATTATTTGATTTGCGGGAGCGCCGGGAGGAACTGGACCTCGTCTATTCGCGTTATTGGAAGCTCCCGATAACGCGTGCTTCAACTCCTTCATAACCTTATCCTGCCGTGTAAGGTGGCCCAAAATGATCACTTGTTGCTCTTGTAGGACCCTTACCGGATCAACGACATGCTCCTCTCCGGTATCATCAGGAGTTGCCTCCCGAACATGTCGCGGGTACCGCTTGTCATGGACCGGTGTGGTATCGTTCCCCTCATTGCGGGTATCACTGATTGAATCCTCGAGATGAGGCTGGTCTCCTTGAACCTCAGGATTGTGTGTTGTTAGCACCATTATCTTCTATTTCTTATGATTTTTTGCTAAGCCAAATAATCAAAACACGTTAGTAAAAGAGGCAAGGATTAATTTAATTACACGGTTGTCTAGGCCTCACGGTGGGCGCCAAGCTGTTTACCTATAAAACGGTATAGTTGAATTTATACGTAATTTCTAGACAAGTGAATTAATTTGATCCTGAAATAATAAAATAATTAAAGAAATGCACAATACTTAGCCTTGAAATGAAGATGAAATCACGAAAACCAGTAATTCCGGGGGCAGAGTTTCCGGGCACAACAGTGATGAAACCAAGGAACAAAAAAGTAAAATTGTATAAAGCTTTTAATCGATTATAGCGTAAGTTTGCCAGAAAATTCGTATCCTTTACAATGATAATATATCTCACTATTTATAGCTACGCGTAGGAAACAAGGTCCTAGGATCGTGCTCTTCTTTAATGTCAATTATGAGAGTCATTGATGAAGGTGTAACGATGAGCATAAATGACAAATTCTCTGTAACGGGCAGTGCACTTAATGCTGTGGAATATTCTCCATTAAATGCTACCGATCATGTATATTTGTTATATCTTTACGAGTGTCATTCTTTCCGGTAACAAACGGGATAATTGCCTTCGATTCTAACGATCCCCGCCTTAAGTTCCACGTGTCATTCTCTTAAGCGGCAACTTAGCATGGCGTATTTTACCGTATACACTTACCAAGTGCAGGTTTTACAATGTGAGTCTCTTAGGAGTGGTAGCAATCATAATGTAATAATGTTAACTTAAAAAGGGATAAGAAAAAACAAAAAGGCTATATTACATGTTTAATTGGAAAATAAAAGAGAGAGATCTTATAATATGAAAAATACAAGAAAAAGAATATAATATGACGGTGGAGCACTAATACAACAATACTTAAGTGGTAGCTAAAGTCAAAACTGAACTTGATTGAAAGCATATGAAAGGTTGGAAATTAAAATGGAATACCTAAACTTAAGACCAGCTGTTGCCTTTGCTTACATATTTCAATTAGCTGTCTCATTGTATATTCTTAAACGTAAAGGCACGAATTTTTGTGGTTTAACAGTGTGGCATTAAAAAGGAGGGATTTTTTTTTGTGTGGGGTTAATTTTATGATTGTAAGTGTGCTCTAATATTTTTTTGAATTTTGCGATAGCAGGAACTCAATACACCAATTGGATTTTCATATTGTTCTCATGCAGAATTATTAGGTCAAACACGATAAAAATATATTACAGTATATATGGTTGGTGATAAGACACAAATAGAGAATGTATCCATTATATCATTCTATTGAATTGTACGAACAGCAAAATCTAAATTAGTAGAGGAAAATATTTTTATTTATTTATTTTATATCTACAACATTCATATAAGGCCACCATTTCTAATCTTTCAACTACGAAGCTCCACTAGTTACTATATATGCTTCGAGTTAGCAAATTTGCTTCTTATTTCCTTATATTTTTGTTTTGTTTTCCTTACCTCTTTTCTTCTCTGCTCTTGTTTTTTTCCTTTTCTTTTTTTCCTCATAGTTCTTCACTCTCCGGTTCAACTTCATAATTACTTCCCGAGTACTCTATTTTTACTTTTCAATTTAAAAAGTATGTCAATTTCGATATTGATAATCAGATAGAATTTGAAGATGTAAGTTCTTTTAGTTGGCAATGAGGAAATGAATTAAGAATAAAAACTTCTAGAGTTTGTATTAGCTTTTCTTTTTTCGCATAAGAACAATCTTATATGAGGTGACCTTAATTTGCTGGTTTCAGAATTCATTCAATAGGTGTCATGTAAACTAGGTTGATATGAGACAAATAATTTGCCGGTTGGAAGCAAAGTTTAATCAAGAATGAATACATCATTACACTGAACCTCAAAATGCATTTGATAAAATTAAATAGGAGAAGATGATTAAGAAGAATAAGTGAAATTGCAATTCTTCAAAGACAAAGGCATTTGTCCATGAGAATTTTTTTTTATTTAAAAAAAAAGAGAAATTCCAAGTTGGCCTTTGTCCAAGTTTCTTGAAGAAGTTTGAGCATGAGTATGGAAAAATTCTTGGCAGGGAGCTCTACTTCGAATAGGGTCCTATCCGACACGAATTCTGATATAGTCGGGCTACAATGAGGATATCGGACACCGGATGGGAAACAAAAAAAAGAAGTTTCTTGAAGAAGCTTTTGCAAATAATTTTTTTTTCTTTCTTTCCATTTGTGGTATGAGGTATTCGATCGAAATACTTTCTTTATCAAAAGAACTCTTTCACTGATAAAACACGGACACATTCTTTTTTTACAATATATACTCCTCTAGGATGCATTTGATATGATGAAAATATTTTTTATGAATACTAGTAAAAGAAGTTTACTTTGAAAGGTTAATGCTATTTTAACGCACATTTCCTCCGTTTTAATTTATATAACATATTTTTCTTATTAATTCTAATTCGTTCAAACAAGAATGACATGTTTTATATTTAGAAACAATTTAACTTAAATTTTTTTATTTACTCTTAATGAGAAGCATACAAATGTTACGGCCCTATTAATTTTTATCTCTTAAGTGTTTAGCAACACAAATTTCAAAAATATTTTTTTTTTTTTTTGTGTTTGATTGAATGTTAAAATATTAGTGCTACACATATGGAGAGTTCCAACTGGAAGACATTATTAATAATGCTCAAAAATGTCTTCATGGACCAGTTTCCTTTCTTTAAACAATAGTCCATTAAACAGCTCTCATGCCTCCTCTCTAGACTATAATTTTCCTACTTAATGGAAATTCACATGCTCTGTTAGTTGAAAAAGAATTCACTCATTCTTCTCCACTGAGTATGCTTCACTTCTCCCCCTTTCCTTTTCTCCTTCATTTCTAAGGAGTATTTCAAGAACCCACAAAAAAAAAAATCCCATGAAAAGTTGTAAAGTTATTCTCTTTTTCATCCTTTATTTGTTCCTCATCTATTTATCAACTGCTTTCTCCCCTCAAGATAACTACTTGATAAACTGTGGTTCAAATACTGATGCTATAGTTGATAACAGGCACTTCCTTGGGGACTCTAATGACCGAAATTCAGTTCATACCTCTCAAGGTAAGTCAATTTTTCAAGAAAATCTAAACCCATCTTCCAATTTGTCTTTGCTTTATACTACTGCTAGAGTTTTCAATGGTGCTTCAAAGTATGTGCTGAATATCAAGAAGATTGGGACCCATTTTTTGCGCCTTCATTTCTCTCCTTTCACTGCTCAGAATCATGATCTCCGGAAAGCAAGTTTCAGTTTTTCTGCAAATGGGGTTCTGCTTTTTAGTAATTTTAGTGTTAATACTACTGTGCTTAGAGAGTTCATATTGATGGTGGATAATTTTGAGCTTGAAATTGAGTTCACACCAACTTATGAATCCAATTTTGCTTTTGTGAATGCAATTGAAGTGTTTTCAGCCCCTGATGATTTCATAATTGGTGATGGGGCTAAATCAGTTGGTCCTAGGGGAATTCAGGAGTTCAGTCAGAATATGACTTTACAAACATTAGAAACTGTTCATAGGATCAATGTTGGAGGGTTGAAGTTAACTCCTTTTAATGATACTATGTGGAGAAGTTGGGTTCCTGATGAGGTTTTTCTTGTCTTGAAATCTGCTGCTAAAATAGCAAGAACCTCTCATGTTCCAAAGTACCAAAAGGGTGGTGCCACAAGAGAAATTGCTCCTGATAATGTGTACATGACAGCACAGCAGATGAATAGGGAGAATGTAACTACAGATTTCATATTCAATATCACATGGAACTTTCCTGTGGATGCTGGAGATGCATCGCACTTTGTTCGTTTACATTTCTGTGACATTGTTAGTATGGCGCCTGGCCAGTTGTACTTTAATGTATATCTCAACGGGTTCACAGCGTACAAAGACCTTGATTTGTCTTCCGTTACATTCCGTGAGCTTGCTACACCATATTACATAGATTTTGTGGTGTACTCAGGCAGTTCAGGCGTTGTGCAAGTAAGCATTGATCCTTCTAACCTAAGTAGTACTATGAGGAAGAATGCCATTCTGAATGGTGTTGAGATTATGAAAATGGTTAATTATGTGGCTTCAAAATCAGGTTCTAAGAAGAGAAATGTTTGGGTTATAGTGAGTTCTGTTCTTGGAAGTTTTATTCTGCTGAGTGTGGTGATACTTGCTGCCTTGCTATTCTTTGTCTGCAGAAAGAAAAAGCTAAAACCAAAGCGTTCAGAAAGCGCTGGCTGGACGCCTTTATGTCAATATGGAAGTACTTCCCATGGTACATTGTCTGATGGGACTTCAGCTGGACCAAATGTATTTCTAGGTCAGAGGATTCCCTTTGCCGAAATACAATTGGCTACTAATAATTTTGATAAGAGTTTGATAGTTGGTTCTGGTGGCTTTGGGATGGTATACAAAGCAGTTCTTGGAGACAACAGAAAAGTTGCTATAAAGAGAGGTGTTCCAGGTTCCCGGCAGGGTCTGCCTGAATTTCATACTGAAATCACAGTTCTTTCCAAGATTCGCCACCACCATCTTGTTTCACTTGTAGGTTATTGCGAAGAACAGTCTGAGATGATACTTGTTTACGAGTATATGGAGAAGGGACCTCTTAAGAGGCATTTGTATGGTGCAGGAATAACACCCTTATCTTGGAAGCAAAGGCTTGAGATATGCATTGGTGCAGCAAGAGGCCTCCACTACCTTCATACAGGTTTTGCTCAAGGAATTATCCATCGCGACATCAAGTCAACAAACATCCTGCTTGATGAAAATTATGTTGCTAAGGTTGCTGATTTTGGTCTCTCAAGGACAGGCCCATGTCTCAATGAGACCCATGTCAGCACTGGTGTAAAAGGAAGTTTCGGCTACCTTGATCCGGAATATTTTCGGAGGCAGCAGCTTACAGATAAGTCAGATGTTTACTCATTTGGAGTTGTTCTTTTCGAAGTCTTATGTGCTAGACCTGCCATTGATCCTCTGCTTTCACGGGAGCAAGTGAATTTGGCCGAATGGGCTATGCAGTGGCAGAAGGACGGACAACTAGAGCAGATTGTTGATCCCCGTATCAGAGGTCAGATAAAGCTAAGCTGTTTGAAGAAGTTCGGGGAGACTGCAGAGAAATGTTTGGCTGATTATGGTATCGATAGGCCAACGATGGGTGACGTGCTGTGGAACTTGGAATATGCATTCCAGCTTCAAGAATCTGATTCACTTACAGAACCCCATGAGATTTCTAATTCCATCTCTCCACCGCTGCCACTGCCAGAGAGTCTCCGCAACACCCAAAATGAGGCATATACTGGTGATGGGGCTTCAGATATATCAACAAGCCAGGTATTTTCACAATTGATGACCAATGAAGGCAGATAACTAGTCTACAGTATAGCGCACCGTCAAATGTTCGCTCAACTGTTGATTTTAGTTTACAATAGCATTTTCTTATTAAAAGTTTTCGTAATTGGCAGAGCCATCATTTGCTTTTTGAACCATGATTCATGTAGAATATACTGAAAAAGTGTATCATACAATAATCTCTCCTATGATGTAATCCTTGTCATGCTCGTGCTCCTTGGAAGAGAAACATAGTACTTGAATGATGAACATCTAAAATTGTCTATAAGCAGAAATTTGATTGCATATCAATCCATCAATATCTGTTGATGCTGGCTATTGCTGTGCTTTAAAACTGTTTAGGCTGAAAGTTTCATGCTTTTGAAGAGCAGATAGCAGCTTCAGAATTTACTAATATAGTCAAACCTCTCAATAATGACATCGTTTGTCCAGATATTTTGACCGCTATAGCGAAATGTTAGCATAAAAAACATATACAATATAACATAACATGAAAAGTCAATACTAAAGAAAACTTGACGGTTATAGAGGATTGTTGTTATACGGAGTTGTAGTGGGTTTCAAGAATATTTGTCATGTTATTCCTTAAAGAGGGCTGTCCAATTTTTATCCATCAGCGTTTTTCGTTTTTACCAATATGGCAACTTTACTCTCAGATCATGCGTGCACTTTGCGGGAGTCTAGGCTTTCAGAAATAGCCTTAAATCATAGTACTTGAAATATAATTCTGCCGGTATGTATAGAGCCATGTGGAATTATAGAATGCTACACCTAGGAAATTCAACTCAATTAGCTTTCGAGGTCATCTAACACGTTACTTAAAGTGAGGTGTTTTAAGTAAAGATTTGAGGTATACTGCTCCTTTTACTCTTGCATTAACTATAGAAGACTTGTAAGTTTTTATGAATTTCAGAAGAGCAAACTTTTGCCGACAAAAAAAAATTTAAATGAATAGATATTTCATTGTAAAGGCTAAAGGGTGTTGTTTGGTTGAGGGCTAGGATGAGCTCTTAGCCTTCCAAAGTTGAGGTAGAGGGTTCAAACTCCATTCATAGCGTAGCTGCCCCTTCCCCCACCCTTAGACCATCCTAAAGACCTTTTCCTTGTTCAATTAAACAATTACCACACGGCAGTAGAAAAGGCAAAGAATTTTGCTAAACAAAGGGAAGCTTTTCAAGAATGAAAAAAAAAGNTTTAAAATGTTTCCACTCAGCTAGACATGCTATACCTAAGTTTTAAGACTCTATATATTTAAACATACCTGTGTCTTTGGTATATATGGAAAATATTTCCTGAGAAATGTTTTCTGGAAAATGACTCAATCCTTTTGGAAAATTTGTTCCTGTAAAACGTTTTCCCATGTTCGGTTGGGGGTTAAAAAAAAGTCGAGAAAAAAACATTTATTGAAAATTAATACTAAATATTGATGAAATGTTTTGAGTATTAAAGATTAATAACAATTTTCAAGTATATATCTATAGGAGCAGTGATACAAAGTTAAAGTTAAAAAGGTTGTGAAGAACAATGAATTCCACACAAAAGTAAGGAAAAACATTTTCGCTCTTTTGGAAAAAATAGCAATCAAAAACCATGAAAATGCGAGAAAATAGCTTATTTTCTAGAAAAACACATCTTTCAAACAATATTATCCGTCATGCCAAGCACACCTAAATGAGTGGAGCCATGTGTGTTTTCTTTTCTTTCCTTTTTCTTCTTCAGTTGCGTCTTTTTGGATCTCTAAAATAAAATGGTTAGAAGTAATTTTTTGCAAACAACTAAAAACATATCTTCTTTTTTAAGAAGATTTTACTTTCTGAAAATCAAACTAAAATGTGTTTCCAAAAAGAAAACGATTATATGTTTCAACCCAAATTTTATCAAGTCATGATGGCATCTATTTCAACCTGTTAGGTAAACCAACCAGCACAAATATAACTTGAACTGAAGATCGTCATATAAATTATAAGAAGAACTGATGTCACAAGTCATGAGCAACTAAGAGTATATTTACAATGTTGCTATAAATAAAATATATCCTCTATTTGAACGCCTATAAACAGAAATACAAGATCCTAGACCATGAACAAATGGCAGCTACTAACTGGAACGCTAATATATCTTCAGTAACAGCCCAAATCCCACTACGGATGTGATGGCTCCTAATCTGACCTGCTAGACGAACCAATTCACACAAGTGACCATAACAAAACAATATAAAAGCTATGCAATTGTCATAATATAAATAAATACAGATAAGTCTAAAATCAACATAAAAGTACAAAAATATTACATCAACCCCCAAGAACCGATAGTACAAATCATGAGTCACTAAATAAATACAACATAGTCTTAAAGTACAAAATACTATCCGAAATAAGAGACAGTAGATAAAGTAAAAGGGAAAATCCATAAGTTGTGAATCCAAACACAATAGCTTAGCCAGAAGTCTCTGAGCACGCTCGTAAGCCCTATCTTGGACACCGCTAGAACCAATGTCATGATCTACACAAAAATATGTAAAAATACAGTACAAGTATAAAGAACAACATGTACTAGGTAAGTATCAGGTCTAATCTTAAGAAAGTAGTGGCGAGGTTCGATAAAAACAATACTTACTTTCCATAACCAGAGCAATTCATAAACATAAGCAATATAGAGATATAATAAAGAAATAGAGGATATCAAAAATAAGGTGCACAGATAAAAAGAATAATAACAAGTATATTTTTCAAATATAATGATCAAAAGTTTAAATTAATACACCAAATTCGCATAGAAAAATAATATGCAACAAATAGCATTTATATGCATGCTTCTGCTTGAGTGTAGAATGTCTATGCATGATAAAGACTTAAGCTTTACATCAACCGACATCCTCCAAGTGTTTAAAAAAATTGCACACATACGACTCAAGGTAACATGCATAATCACATAACCCTAGAGGGATAGATCCAAATCATGTAATGACCCGGTCGGCCGTTTTATAAATTTAGCCTCAGTTTTCCTTATTTGATACTTTACATATGTGTATTTACGATTACGTGACTTGCTCGGATAGTTGGTTTGGTTTTAGGGGAGTTTTGGATTGAATTGCGACACTTAGTCCCTTGGTTGGAGGCTTAAGTTGTAAGAGTTGACCAGAGTTTGGCGTTTGTATAGATGATCCCGGAATAGTATTTTGATGATTTCAATAGGTTCATATGGTGATTTTGGACTTAGGCGTATGTCCGAATTTGAATTTGAATGTCCCTAGGCCAATTTGGTTCTATTTGGTGAAAGTTGGAAAAGTTAAAAGTTTGGAAGGTCATAGGTTTGACCGAGATTTGACTTTGATGATATCGGATTCGGATTGTGGTTTCGTGAGTGGGAATAGATCTGTTGTGTCATTTGGAACTTGTATGCAAAATTTGAGGTTATCCCAAGTTGAATTGATGTGGTTCGGTATGAGTTTTGGAATTTGAAAGTTCATTAGTTTTTAAGGCTTGAATTGAGATGTTATTCATTATTTTGGTATTGTTTTACGTAATTTGAGGCCTCGAGTAGGTCCGAGTTATATTTTGGGATTGGTTGGTGTATTTGGACAGGTTCCCTGGGCCTCGGTGTGTTTTGGATGGATTCCGGATCATATTGGATTGAGTTGGCATTGTTGTAGTTGCCGAGTTCTAGTGTTTTCGCATCTGCGAAAATTTGGTCGTAGATGCGGGCTTGGAGATGCAAGAAGCGATGCTGGGCTAGGCTGGAGGATCCAAGGACCGCAAATACGGAAGTTGGGCCACAGAAGCGAACCTGCAGATGCGGAGGAGGGGCTGCAGATGCGGGAGGTCAGGAGATTAATTGAGACTCGCATATGGGAAATTCTGTCTGCAAAAGTGGAGCCACAGATGCGGTAGTTTGTCCGCAAATGCGAAAATGCTGGACAAAATAATATTTCAAAGGGTTTGGCTATTTTCTAATTATTTAGAGTTGTGAAGCTCGGTTAGGGGCGATGTTTCGAGGGTTTCTATCTACAATTGAAGGGGTAAGTGCATTTTACTTTATTTTGATGTTAGATATTGACTACCCATGGATTATTACACCCCGTTCATGTGAATCAAAGGTGGAATTTTGCTAGCACCCGATGTCGTACTGGCCCGAGCAAACCATTCTATAACTCATGATTGTTCGATAAAATCTAGAATATACATAGGCTGACTTGGCTAAACTCATTCTTTCTATAACTATCATGGGCCAACCTCGCCACAATTCGTAATGTATAACTCTAAGTGGTCAAATGTTGTATCAGTGAGCCATCGTACTTAGAACATGGATATACACGGGCCGTCAAGGCCTCTGACATGCTGTACATACTGAACCTGTGCCTACAAAGCCTCTAAGAGTATCCGACATCAAAATATGGTCAGGACAGGACACTGACCTACCTATAAGTATATATATACATAGGACAGTCTGATAACCTCTAGACTCGGCTGTACTCCGGATGAAATGGAGCTTTGCCAATCCTCAGTTGGATATCAACTCCGTCTTTGATAAGAGCCCGTTAAACTAGATACCTGAACTTACATGCATGAATGTAGTGCCACAATGATGGGACATTAGTACAAAGAAATATACTAAGTATGTAAGGCAGATAACATATGAATAACTGAATTGAAACTGAATGGACATGTATATATGATATACACTGAAAGTAATCTGGAGGGTCAATGAAATCCGGGAATCATACTTACCTTATTCTGACTCGTAACATATCTAAGTATTGAATTATCCAACTTACCTTACAAAGGATTTAGACTGAAAAGGGAAGGCTCCGTTGGTCGAGAACATCTAATGTGGCGACTGTCGTATATATATCTAATTCGCGTCATGATATACCTTAACTTGTTCCCATATGCTATCGTAGACAAATCAAACATCTTTAGGGATAAACTGAAACATAAAAGTGGCACTTACGTGTTTCATTAGAAACCGTACGTAAGGCTCACTCATAAATATAAATAACAGTGGCTCGTATGCGTAACATAGTAGACCATCCGTACGACTCACAATACCAAGGTTTGGCTATGCGTGCAACTGAGAACGTCCATAACCAACCTTCATTATGCACCTACACGTTCATAGACCGTCCTTAGGGCTTCACTATACACCTTCACATTCATAGACCATCCGTAGGAATCGTGTCTTATACATACTCATTTCATATCTCTCATGCAGACATCATTCAATTATCAACAAATAAACTCGTATTCATAAACATATAAGTTCATGAGTAACTCATTACAGCAACCAATCCT